TGGTCATCTCACTTCACACCATATCCTCTCTTGAAGCCAGAGAAAGTAAGGTCTTTGTGATACACCTTAAAACATTCTCCACATGCAGACACTTTTATTTAGCCCAGACAAAGCTATTAAAATCAGTAACTGTCTGTAATTGTATAATTGAGGTGTCCATATATTTTATGCATTCCCATACTGTCAAGTCACACACCCTTAAAAAACATGAATCAGGATTTTGACTGCTACAGCAACAGTAAAAAATTAAAACCAGTAATGCAAGATGAATCCTACATTCTAGATCTTATGTTCTCTTAAACAACACTTCAAAATTCTATAAAATACTTGAAGATTTTCAAAACTCAGCTAGGCAAGGCCCCAGGTAACTTGATCCAAACCTGAAGTCAGCCCTGGTTTGAGCAAGAGGTTGGATGAGATGACCTTCAGGGGCTTCTTCCAATCCATGTCAGTTTAGGATTTTATAAAATAAAATGGGGAGTGGGAGTGTGTTTGTATATATAAAAACACATGTGCTCTCTTTCTTTCTAGATACTCTAGCCAGTCTACAGGTAAAACTATACCACATACTGCATATAAAGCAAGATTATAATCACCGAGTGGTGGACTGATTTGGCATCTTAAGTACACATTGATTTTACAGTTCTACACAAGAAGTACAGAAGAAAGTATTGCTTATGAGCTAAGTGAGGTGACAAAGATATAAGACTTTTCACACTTTACAGCTCAATCTGATCTCAGAAGTGTTCAATTTATCTGTTGAATCCTCAGCTTCACAAACACACAATCCTCACTACTCAGAGCTTTGACTCCTGCAGTGGTGAGGAATCTCTCTGGAATTATAAAGAAATGAAATATTAATTGCTTCAGCTGAGACATCAGAAAAGAGAGGAAGCAGGCTTGTCCTGAGACAGGTAACCACTCAAACCACAAAAAACATTCAGGTTCACCATTCCTCTCTAACCCACATTTCATTTACACATCTCAAACTGAAACTCCACTACTCCTACCTTTGGAATTCCTCCTTTGATGCATTTTCCCTTCTGCCATTGTCTGTTCGGTATTTTCAGCAGTGACTCATGAGAAGGTGCTTAACTTGACACAGTGCTGAAACTCATTTGGGGTGCCTTGATTTAGAAGCCCAAAAGACATATCACTAACAGACACAGGACATGAAAATTTCTTGGAAAGGTAATGACAAGCATTGTCACACTTATGGCAGTAATTAATACTATTAAATCTTTCTTACAGACAAGCATCATGCCTTATAAAAGTTATATTTGAAATTTACTCCCGTTTTACCACAAGAAGAGAAGCACCTTGAACAAGATGATCTACAAAGCCTGAAGAATTCAGAACAAACCAGATTCCTGCATCTCTGTTGCATTCTTAAATAACGTGTCTAGGTGCAGCATTCTGCTTCCTCCTGAACGTCTGATTGTATGATCAAGCCTCATCAGCAGGCATTTAGAATGAGAGCTGAAGAATTAAGCAGCCATTCTAAATGGTCAGAAAATAGGGCACTGAAATACTATTATTTTCTAGAGCAACCTACTCGAGACTCTCACCTCAGTTCCACTCCCCCCAAAGTAGCATCTGTGATGATCTACAAAACCACTTTTTCACAAAGAAAACTGCAAGAGCCATTTTAAGTATTTTTTCTCACATTCTGTAGGGTTTTTACTACCAAAGTAAATTGCAAAATAGAACAGACCGCCTTTCCCGAACAAAACATACTAAGTTTTCACATAATACTAAATTAATTGAACTAAGAGCACAATCCTAATTATTGTGATTTTGAAAAATTACTTCTTGTAAAGGCAAAATAATGGAATACATAGTAATATGAAAACTGTTGCATTGTAACAAGTTCTTTAGCTGATGGTTTGAAATGTAAGTTCCGACACAGAACCTTTCCTTATTTGGATGGAAATTTCCCAGTTTACATACTTAATACTCACATTTCCAGAGATTTGATAGATCCACAGTTCTAAGGAAACCCACTGGGACAGTAAAGACAGATTACAAACACAAGACAAATAAACAATCTGTGTTTTTACAGCCACTGTTTGCCTTTCACTATAAACCCATATAGAAGGTTTTCTCATTTTCACATTACTTAAGTCAGAAACCTATTGCCAGGAACCCAACTAACTATTTTGTTTCTTCTATGTGTATATTTATAAAGTATTATTGGAACAACAATGTAAACAATTTTTATAGATTTAGCTCTGACATTTGGACATAAAGTTCAGCATTTCCTATAGACTCATAGGTACAGAAAAAATTACTTGGCTGTTTTGACAAAAGCACAGCCATTGCTTTTGTCATATTCTTGGCAGAAGCAAGAATCTTGTTTCAGAATCATTATCATTCACTATTCTGCATATTTACTGGAAAATACTAATGATAATATTCTGCTCTAGAGAAGTCAGATATTCAAAGGCAGATGTTGATGTAACAAGCCAAAATATATCCATGCATATTATAACATTACAAAAAGAAACTTTAAAGTCACCTTTTCCCTTGACTTTTCTTTAGCATGAACTTCCAGTCTAATGGGGGGTTTTGGGGGAAACACATTAGCATGGGCTGAAGCATACTATATTCAAGTACTACACACCAGAATAATCATTCCACCTGTAATTTTACGTAGTGAGTGCACCTCAACACATCATGCATTTACAGTATTAGTTTACTTCCACAATAATAAGTTGTTAAATAAGTGTGCATTTACAAAGGCACAAGAACTAGGCTGAACAGGCTGACAGATGGTGCTCAAATGCCACAGAAAGGCAGAGCTCCTTACTGAAATAAATTGCTGCAGTTGCAGATCCTTCTGCTGATGTTGTAGACTTTCGAGCGAAACATAACTGATTCTAATGAAGGGCAAGTCCTCCTCCCTTTTCACTGTGATGACATGGACAACAGAAAATCTGAGGGCACTGAAAGACACTTCACTAAGAAACTGAAAGATACTTCACTAGTATCACATACTTTTTCTATCAGCCAGTTATTTGCATGAATGACTGCCTGATAGTCAAAGAAGAATTTAAGGGTGCAGAGCAGAGAGAACACAGCAAGACAGGGGAAGTGGCATTTTCATTTTGAGAAAGCTTCAACAAATTATTTTCTCTGCTTTATTAAAAAAATCCCCAAAACTATCTGTGTAACATTTGGCAAAATATATATATTGTTAATAGCACAATGTTTAATTTTCATACTTCAAGAGCAACAAAAGAATATTTAAGAGCAGCAGTTTCTTATAGCAGGTGAAGCAGCTCATTAAAAAACCTGAATGTTGAGTGTAATGACCTAATTAGGAGAATTTCTCCATAGCGGGAGTCTGTTCTAATGTAAGTTGATGGGAAAACCCAGCTAGATTGAACGCTGTAAGATCAAAACCTAAACACTTATGAAAGTGTGCAGTTAAAGAAAAAAAAAAAAAAAAAGAATCAGAAGACCGGGAGTTTCTGTCCTTCACAAAGATATATTGAATACAACCACAGTAGTTTCACAGTTTCAGTTAAAAACTTTCCAGAATTACTCATGCTTAGTAACTACAAAACAAATTCAGAACTGCCAACACTATTCTGTTGAACTCCAGTTATTGAAAGTACTCCACACTTATTTCATTTTTGTTAGAGAATAATTGAGGCATCATGTATCAGCTTTTGTAGTATCAAAAGCCAAAGCAAGAGATCATACTATTCAGTAACAAAATATATTTAGATAAATGACATAGTGCCTTCTAAAAAATTAGTAATCAAGATCAGATACTAACACAACGCACTACATAGTCTGGTGGTTTTACCCATTTTTAAATGCATCAATAAACTCCAGTATGTGGGATATGTTAAACCTGTTCCCCACGAAAAAGCATTCCAAGAAACACATTCAGGATGGAAGCAGGCTTGATGCTGCAACTGCTACTAGAATGTTGTTTCTATTTTAACCCTTTAAGTTTTAAATAAAATGTGTTTTCATTAACAGAACTTACAAAAAGTTAATAAATTCTGAATAAGCTTGAGCAATACCTATTAGCATTTAGCTTGTTGTTTCTTGTTGCCCCTCAGAAAACTACGTACAGACTCTCACAGTGAAATAATCCACTCCACACACTTTATTAATGTTAACACAGGAAAACTTTAGATAATTAAGTTTAATGTGCTGTTCAACAAGTAACATCGAATTTCATACTACAACTTAGAGTAATTCTTTACAGTTCACAACACCCTCACAGCAAAATCAAAATGGACCAAAACTGCCCCAGTATTGTTATCCAAGAGCTTGATTTTCTTCTTGGTGGTCACCCTGAAAAGTAACACAATGATAACAGTTACAATATGACATTCAAACATCTGAATATGAAATATGTTTGCACTGTTTCACGAAGTAGGTCTAGGCAAATACAGCCCTCTAATATAATCTTCTGAGTTTGAATTAACTAAAAAATACTACAATAATTCCATTTGTGCTTTTGTACGTGCAATACATCTAATCAAGACCAACATCTTACGTTTTTATGATGTATATGCATAGGTTCCACTATGGTGAAATATAGATCAACATTTAGCATTACAATAAAGTAAATTATTTAACTGTCTTATACTAACCACTCTTAATTTTCTGTAAGGAGAAGCAGTGCTACACATTCACTTTCAAGTTACATTAGTGAATTAACCAGATTGTGGTTTGTCAGGGTGTGGGATGGGGTTGCGATGTTTGGGGGTTTTTTTTAAATTAAAAACAAACTGTGAACATTAAAGACCAAAACCAGTACATGCAGAATCTTTTAGTTCAATTAAGAATTGTTATTTTATACTTTGGCCAGACGTAGCGAGTCTGAATGCAGACTAATGAAAAAAAAGCACTAACAATCAATTTGTTGTTAGTAGGACAGCTTCCTGTGCTCTAAGACAGTTATTTTAACAGAGTGTTGGTTTGTTTGTTTGGGTTTTTTTTTTCCTTTAAAAAAAAAAAAAAAAAAAAAAGGTGTCATGGTAAGTCATCAGCATTAACAGCTGGCTGGACTCTTCCTCAAGATTGTTTATTTTCTTTCCAGATAGGGAATTACACTTTACAACTGCCTTGTCTGGACAGTAATCATACTTTTCAGACAACGGATGATTTAAGATAAAGAGAAGTTCTGCAATACAGACTCTTGCAAGATCCCACTACTGTGAGAAAAAGTTATGTAGCAAAAATTGTTATAAAAGGAGTTGCCACTACCATTTTAGGAGAGACAGGAACTGAAGCCTACCTTCAAAGTTGGGGCTTCCCAACTCATTTACTACTGACACCAACTTATCCTACAGTTTCGGTCTTCCTCACCAAACTGCTGTGACACTTTCACATATTATTCTGTATTGTTTCATTTCTTAGTGAATCAAGGCAAAAAGATACATACCATAATCATATCCAAGGAAAATCAGTTCTATCATGAGAATTTGTCTCATTCATAAAGGTACAGGTAGAGGAGTTTTTGAATCTTTCACTCAAATATTGCAGAACCCAAATTCCCCTAAACTTCCTCAAAAAACCCTATTCAACTACTTTGACTCATCATTCTTCAGTCTTAGAGTAAGTAACAAATGTTAAAGACAAAACCAATAAATTATCTATTACCTGTTTTGACAGTTTTGTACTTGCTACATGTAAACCAAAAAAATAACTTCCATCTAGCTTGGTTAGCATTCTGAATGTTGAAGTTGGAAGTTAATAACAGAAGAAGCATTAAAGAAGAACTGAATATATTCAGGAATCTAAATGAACATGGTTCTGTAACACTTCCCTTTGCCTAGGCCCTGCTAATACTTTAAATCAGATTTCTTTTCTTCCTGTGTTATTTCAACATTCCAACTTCTCACAACATCCAGAATTTAAAAAGCCGTAGCATTTCACCTAGCAAGAACCTAGAAATTCCCACTACTTAACTCCCTCACTGATTCTCCATCAACTTAATTTTCTGCAACAACAGCAACCTCTAAAAGCTAACATCATCAGGCAAGACTCCAAAACCAAGACAGAAACCAAACATTAAAGCCACTGATGAAGCAGGTGACCTGTAAGTGTTCGTGATCCATTATCTTTGCTATTTCCAGTTCCTTAACAGTCAGCGTTTAGCCAACCCAAAACTAGACTAGATAGGAAAAGGCCTATAATACAACAGCTGCTTTATGACTATTAATTCAGAATTTGTTAATAAAGCACCTTCAGCAAGAGCTTGATCTTTTCCTGGCTCTTAAATATAGCAGCACAGAATGAAAAGACACACTCTGTAAGGCCCAAATAACAGCAACAGGAAAACGTGACACCCAAATGCCTGGAAAGCAGGAAATACCTGCCTTCACCTCCACCCTTCAATAGGAAGTGCAGTACCACACCTTTAAAAACAAGAAGAAAAAAAACAACTATACATTAACATAACCACTGTTCCTTTCTGAAAGAAAACCACTATTTTCTACAACAATTAAGAATTTTAAACACTCATCTAAAAGCACTGAGTTAATAAAACTAAACTCAGTTAAGACCCAAGTTCAACTACCAGCATGACTCTGGGGAAGTCACTTGACCGCTGTATGGATATCCCACAGCTACTAAGAATCCCTCAGTGACACCATCACTCTACCACACTGCTGTACTGTGAAAGAAAAACCCAAAAGCATTACCAATGATGTAGTGTTCAGACACTGAAACACAAACCGTTCTCCTCACAGACTATACAACTACTCCTGTAGGTAAATATTCCCTAGAGTAACATAGTATGCCCTAGGATGTCTGCCCCATAAAACTCTTCTTATTTTTGAATCTTTTTATTCTTAGATAGCTGTCATTTCTTAGCTTTATAAAATTCCCACTGCATACGTGCCCAAACATTTGTCCAGCATTTTACACATTTGTTGTCATTTCACATCTTCACATTGATATCACGAGACCGTAAAAAAGCATCATGTACCTTACCTTTTAGGGTAACAGAAAGTTTTTCTCATGCCAAACAACTTTTCACAGTTCACATTTAGACCTTCACATCTCAGAAGGCCTAAATAAGTAATCAATTAAAACCAAACCCTGTCTCACCTGTATCAGTCCCAGGAATTCAATTATTGCTGTACTCCAAACTAAAATTACATTGCCAGAGAAAAATGCTATTTTGAAGAATGTACTTGAATTTGTCAGCTTCATCAGCACTGGAATTTATTTTCTCCTGACCTAGCTTCCAAGAAATCTTCTGTGCCACAGAATTGCTTTCAGAGCCCCAACTTGTTCACCTACTAAAATCAAAAGTAAAGAGAATTAGGAAAGTCACAAACAAAAACACAGCAGAAAATGAGAATCAGACAAACATGCTCCATGTGTTACGTACTTCAGCATATTAGCGAGGGGTTGGGACACACCATGCAATGCCAATGTAATGTCCTAGGTTCTCAGTGTCCCCCTGCACACATTAAAAGATACATTTTTTTAAAGGTCAGATAACTAATACATGGATGAAATTACAATTATTCAGTAACACTGTTGCGGATAATTGAAACCTAAATAAAGAGTAATGGACAAGCATACCTATTTGAGGCTCCTCTGATCTCAACTGTGAATGCCTCAGTTACTGATGACACTGCAGTAAAAGAAATCAGCAGTCGACTGATGGTGTGGTTGCCTCGTTGAGCACAGCACTATTTTTAGATAGGTTAATACGTCACTTTATATGTAATGGCACTTATCAACAATGAAACATTTTTCTTTTGTGAAGGGTTAAAGCACACGCAATAGCACTTGCCTGCAGACTGTACTACTATAAAAATCTAACTGCTTACTAAAGTGATAAGATACATATAAAGCACTAGCTATTTTCTTGGTCCACTCATGAGTTTTATATAGTTAAGGAAGGCAGTCACTGAACAAGCAGGTTTGCTGTGTGTACACTAAGAGTCTTACAACTTTTCCAAAATCTCTCATACTTGCCTCAGAAGGACTGAGCCAACCATTACATACCAAGATGTTTTTAGATAATGAATCAGAGCATGAAATGACATGAGTTTCTAACAAAATTAAATGCAATAATAAATGTAAATATTTTCAAATGCAAAACATGCAAAAAAACATAGTATCACTAACGTGTCATCTGTCTCTGTGGACAAGCAGTCATGCTGCATCTCTCTCTCTTCTTTCACAGTTACAATTCTCACATCCCCAGGTTCAGAACAAGCAGATTCTTTAGACAACTGGTCATCATTGTCATACCTGCAAATATAACCCAAATTGATAATTGAAACATATCTTCTGCAAAAAAGTTTTGCTTCTATTTAATCTAGACTAGTATTATGTACTCACCAATATAAACAACAAAATATACAAGCTGTTCTACAAAAGATATCACAAAATCTATTTTAATAAAATCAGCTGTATATTTTCCTCTTCTATAACTTCTGCACCATTCAAAAAAAATGCCAACTACAGTCTTTCAAGTACTATCAAGAAAAGTATTTCATCTGTCCTTCACACATAAAGAGAGTATACTACTAACGTTCCATCAGCTGCTATTAAAGAAGTGCTGCCTGACAATGCTCTTTCTTCTTTCACAGTAATTCTTCTCACACCCTCAGGGAGGGAACAGATTGGAGCTTTTGACAATGGGTCATAGCTGTCATACCTAGAAAGAAAATACACACAGCTGGCATTAATGCCAAGAATTATTGACTTGGTATTAGTAAACAGAGGAGTATTGTGACAGTCTACTCACAAGTCCAGTAAAAACCCTGCAACTTCTGCATCATTTCTGAAATCCAATTTTTCCTTAAGAGTCAACCATCGGTCAATATGATTTCCCACATAAATCCTTGTCTTCCCTCTTCTTCTATCAAGACTTTGCTTTCTCTTCTTCTTTTCCAGAAAAGACAACACTGGGGGCCTTCCACATCTCTTTGCTGGTAATGACATTGTAAGCCTAGAAATAAAGAAAAGAATTAGCGAGATGTAGCTCAGAGCAACAGATCATATCTCAGTGTTCTGAATCATCACTGCAGAAGCGGACTGCTAGGCACGTAAGCTTCTCACTCCTACGAATTTAAGGACCAGAACCCTCTAAATGGAAGCGACTCACAACGGGCGCGGCCCACTCCGCCCCAAGAGGCGAGAGCCCGCCGGCCGATGTGGCGCAGCCCCGCACCGAGGGCTCCCGCCCGCGCCCGGGCTGAAGGCGGGCGCAGTGGCACCCGCTCGTGCCACCCCGTCACTCCCAAGCGGCGGTTGGGAACGCGGCCGGTTCCAATCAGGCCACGGCC